ATATCATACGAAAGCTGACTGGCACAACCTGGGGATCACAACCAGACACAGTTACGGCATCTGCCCTTGCGCAATGCTACTCTGCTGCTGAGTACGCATGCCCAGTGCGGAATACATCTCACCACGCTAAAACAGTGGATGTAGCTCTTAATGAGACATCCTGCATTATCACAGGGCGTCTGCACCCGACACCACTGGAGAAATTACACTGCTTAGCCGGTATTGCACCACCTGACATCTGCCGGGAAGTGGCAGCCAATAGTGAAAGGACCAAGGCATTGACATCTCCAGCTCATCCCCTGTTTGGGTATCAGCCAGCACGTCAACGACTTAAATCTAGAAATAGTTTTCTAAGATCTACAGAGACACTCGCTGGAACACCCCAGCAAGCGAGAGTCCAAAAGTGGCAGGCTCAAACCCAGCACCTCAACCAATGGCTGATACCAAAGGAGAGACTCCCCCCTGGGCACACAGAGGACTGGGCGACTTGGAAGGCGCTGAACAGACTGCGCTCAGGCACCACGAGATGCAGAGCCAATCTCCAGAAATGGGGCCACAAACTGGAATCCTCGACATGCGAGTGTGGAGAAGAATAAACCACTGACCACCTGCTGCGATGCAACCTGAGCCCTGCTACATGCACAATGGAGGACCTCCTTGTGGCAAAACCAGAGGCACTCCAACTGGCCAGAGACTGGTCAAAGGACATTTAATCAACTGCCAAGCTTGCAAATTTTATATTTTGTCTGTTTGTTTGCTTTGTTCTGTTAGAAATGTAATATAATCGACTGGTTACCCTGACACAATAAATAAATAAATAAATAAATAAATAAATATTATTATTATTATTATTTGATACACAACAAGATGAGTCCACAGCAAACAAGATCACTCGGGTGGCTGTTGCATTGGATCGCATGTAGGCCAAGGTCTTGAGGCACTGCATCCAGAGTGCCGATCACCACTGGGACCCCCTTGACCGGCTTGTGCCAGAGTCTATATTATTATTATATTTATTTATACCCCTCTTTACCCCTCCCAAAGGAGACTCAAAGAGGCTATGTATCTATTATTATTACTAAAGGCAGAAAACTGTTCCCAAAGTGGTCCCCAGCCCAAGCTTTCAATCTATATATATATAAATGTTCTGTGCATAACTAGTACCTTAAAAACAAAAGAACCAATGAATGAAATCACACCAAATTTGGCAACAAAACGTCTCACAACATAAGGAGTGACCATCACTCAATTTTTTTTGATTTTGTCATTTGGGAGTTGTAGTTGCTGGGATTTGTAGTTCACCTACAATCAAAGAGCATTCTGAACTCCACCAACGAAGGAATTGAACCAAACTTGGCACACAGAACCTTGAGTTTGGGAGTTGTAGTACACCTACATCCAGAGAGCACTGTTGATTCAAACAATGATGGATCTGGACCAAACTTGGCACAAATATTCCATATGAACACAGATGGAGTTTGGGGGAAATAGACCTTGACATTTGGGATTTGTAGTTATTGGGATTTATAGTTCTCCTGCAATCAAAGAGCATTCTGAATCCCACAAATGACAGAATTGGGGCAAATTTCGCACACAGATCCCCCATGACCAACAGAAAATACTGAAGGCCATCCAGTCCAACTCTCTTCACCAGGGCAAGAACATGTAATCAGAGCCCTCCTGACAAAGAGCCATCCATAGATATAGATAGATAGAGAGATAGATATGATTTACACACACACAGAGAGAGAGATATAGTATCCTAGATTTGAAAGGGACCCCTAAAGAAGGACTATAATATGTTGCATATTCCAGAGTAGGCAAACCAGACACTCTCCACATCCACACTGACAAAGACACAGCAAGAAATACTGTTGACCCACAAGCAGAAAGAAATTATATATATTAGAAACCAACACTTTCTCATTACTTTATTTTCCAGATCAACAGACTGGGCCACAGCAACACGTGGCAGGGGACAGCTAGTGATTGCCTAAAAAGCCAGTGAAATGTCCCTCTCCCAGTAAAACCAATAGCAACACTTTGGCGCAGGGAGTCAAGGTCAAGGTCTGATGGTCAGTGTGGCCTCTTTGTTCTCTATGTTGTCCAGAATTTGCCGGACTGTACCTCCCAGCATTCCCCACTCTGGGCTTTGCTTGCAAGTTGATGATGGGATGCGCACTCCGGCGACACCCAGAGAGCGGTGGGATTCCCATCCCTGGAGTCTCACTCACCTTCACCGTCAGGAATGTGATCTTCTCATATTCCTTGAAAAACCCCGCCACTTGGTCCTTGTAGTACCAGGGCTGGAACCCGCTTTGCGTCTGCAGGATCAGAGAGGAGAAAGGGAACCAGTTTCATCACCRGGTTTGCGATAAATCTAACGAGCATGCTGATTCGGGCAACCTAATTTAGCCCAAAAAGGTATGCATGATGTAACKGATTGGCCTACCTTACAGGGTTGGTGTACAGGCAGCTTACTTYCTTACTTACTTACTTACTTACTTAGCCGATCCCTCGTAGTCCGAGGATGATGGTCCTCRAAGTTCGGTGTCCTGGCGGTGGGTCCGTAGGTGATTCTGAACCTTTTGAATCCTCTTTCCATACCAGCACTCTTAACACTAGACTTGGTTGATCCAGTTCGTTAATTTCTTKATTRGTTATTTATTCATTATTTTTACACCTTTAGAAGCGATTTTGATGCGTTTTAGCAACCCGGAAGTGTTTTTGCCATCTCAAAGCCGGGTCCACCATCTCCACATAAGCAGTCCCCAAGTTACAAACATCCAACTTACAAACGACTCCTAGTTGAGAACAGGGTTGGATTGGATGGCCTTTGGGGGTCCCTTCCAAATCTATATAGTCTATCTATCTATCTATCTATCTATCTATCTATCTATCTATCTATTTATCTAAGAAATAGATATACTATCATAGATTTGGAAGAGACCCCCAAAGGCCATCCAGTCCAGCCCTGTTCTCAACTATTATTTATTTTATGTATTTAGCAGTTTTGCATTTATTTAGCAGTCTTCTCACCTCTGTCGAGGGACTCAGGCCAGTTTCCAACAGTAATATCACAAACAGTCATTAAAAACATCATATTGCATATTAAACTAAAACATTAAAATAGCAAAATGCAGTCAAATAATTACAATGGTCAGTCGTCACAATAAAATCGTTGTTCGTCATTCGTCATCATCCATCCATATCACAGAATATTGACTCACTCATCGAATGCCAATTTCCAGAGCCAAGTTTTCACCTGTTTTCTGAACGTCAAGATAGAAGGGGCAGTTCTGATCTCCAGTGGGAGAGAGTTCCAGAGCCGAGGGGCCACCACCGAGAAGGCCCTGTCCCTCGTCCCCCCCAGACGCGATTGCAAAGGAGGTGGGACTGAGAGCAGGGCCTCTCCAGACAATCTTAATAATCCTGATGGTTCATAGGGGAGAATATGTTTGGAGAGGTAAACAGGGCCGGAGTCGTTTAGGGCTTTATAGGTCAACACCAGCACTTTGAATTGTGCTCGGAAGCTAATTGGCAGCCAGTGGAGCTGGCGTAACAGCGGAGTGGTGTGCTCCCTGTACCCAGCCCCCGTTAGTAATCTGGCTGCCGCGCGTTGGACTTGCTGCAGCTTCCGGGCAGTCTTCAGAGGCAACCCCACGTAGAGAGCGTTGCAGTAATCTAAACGGGATGTAACCAAAGCGTGGACCACCGTGGCCAAGTCAGACTTCCCAAGCTACGGGCACAGCTTTCGCACAAGTTTTAATTGTGCAAAAGCTCCCCTGACCACCGCTGAAACTAGGAGTCGTTTGTAAGTTGCATGTTTTTAACTTGCAGACTGACTGTGTGTACGTATCTATGTATGCCTGTATGAGGGGGAGAATGGACTGGAGTTCACAGCCTGAGACTGGGGATCGGTCCAGAAGAAGACATGCATCCTTTCCCCTTCTCTCCTATCCGCTTCCTTCCGCACAGCTACCATGGATGGGGGTTTCTCTTCCCGCTTCCCTTTCCTTGCTTACCGACTGGTTCAAAGCCTGGACGAACTTCTCTGCCCCCAGGAAGTTGCAGGCCATGTCCACGTCTCCGTTGTAGACCAGTGCCCGCAGGTCCTGGCCCAGCAGAGACTTGTAGAAGGGAGCCATGTCCTTGTATTCCCGCTGGTAGTGCGCCCGCACCTGGGAACTGAAGCAAAGTGGGTGAATGTGGGGCTGAAGCCGGGAAAAAGCCCATCGGACCTGTTGGAATCACAGACCACCTTACAGAGATGCGGTCGCGCAGGTAGGCAGGTCCCAAACCGTTTAGGGCCTTGTAGGTGAGCACCTACACCTTGAATTGGGACCGGAAAATGAATGGCAGCCAATGGAGCTCCTTAAACAGGAGGGTTGACCTCTCTCTGTAAGGAGCACCAGTTAACAACCTGGCCGCCGCCCATTGGACCAGTTGGAATTTCCGAGCCGTTTTCAAGGGCAGCCCCACGTAGAGCGCATTACAGTAGTTCAACCTGGAGATGACTACGGCATGGACCACCCTGGCCAGATCCACCTTCGCGAGGTATGGACGCAGTTGGAGCACAAGTCTTCATTGTTCAAAGGCCCTCCCGGCCACCACCGACGCCTGAGCCTCAAGCATCAGTTATGAGTCCAGGAGGACACCCAAACTGCGGACCTGTGACTTCAGGGGGAGTGTAACCCCGTCCAACACAGGTTGCCACCCTATACAACGGTCAGGTTTACGATCAACCAGGAGGACCTCTGTCTTGTCGGGATTAATCTTCAGCTTGTTCGTCCTCATCCAGATAGACACAGTGGCCAGGCACTCATCCAGCACTCGAGGGGCCTCCTTGGAATTAGGTGGAAAAGAGTAGTAGAGTTGTGTGTCATCCGCATACAGATGGCACCCAACTCCAAAACTCCGGATGCACAAACACACACAAATATATACATATACACATACATGCATGCACACATGCATATATACATATGCACATGCACACACATATACATATTGACATACATATATACACACAAATATGCATATAGACAAGCACACACATATACACAATATGCTTGTACACATATAAACACACAAATATGCAAATATACACACATATATATACACACACACTTATACACACACACACACACATATATATACACAAATATATATACACACACAAAGACATATATACACACACAAAACACATATACACACATTGGGCCACAGCAACGCGTGGCAGGGGACGGATAATAATAATAATAATAATAATAATAATAATAATAATAATAATAATAACAACAACAACAACAACAACAGTTACCTTACTTGGATCTGTGTGCATCCTTTGAAAATACATCACGCAGTCCTTGACGCTTGGGAAGTGTTCGACTTGTGATTTTGTGATACGAAACCCAGCATATAGATCTCGTTTGCTGTGACATACTGTGTTTTTGTGTCAGTAAAATAATAATAAATGGAGGTGCCCTTCTTCCACTGAGCCTCACCTGCAGAGCTCCCAGTTTGGGAGGCTGCTGGGAATATGGAGGGCCTGCCGGACGTCATCCGCGTTCAGCCAGAGGTACATGGCCGTGGCGTTTATGCACGCCGGCACTCCTGGGATAGCGCCCACTGCCTGGAAAGGAAGCAAAATAAGGGGGAACAAGTACATATAGGGTCCATCTGTCTTTATGACACACAACCACATAACTTCAACTTAGGACAGATTTATACTATTGAAAGGGTCTTTGAGTAAAATTAGCAATAGCTAAGCAAGGGGTTTTGAGTGAAATTAGCAATAGTTCAAGGATTTGGTTCTTTGAAAAGTCGCTATATTAGCGAGCTTACATAGAAAGTTGGTTTGTGGTTAAGCGCAAAGTCTGCAGGTGCGAGAAGGTACTTTCCATCAAGAGGTTGATGGGACAGGAAGAGTCAAGGTCAAAGTACCTTCCATGACAAAAATATTCTTGTTTACATGATGGTATAAAGGTTTGCAAAAAGCCAAGGAGGGGCACGGCAGTCTGTGGGTGCACTTACAAAAGTGCTGTCTGTTTGTTGGGGTTCAGCCTGAGTGTGAACCTGAACCTGAATCTGATTCTCTCACTGTATTTCCTGATGCTACTGAAAATGTATTTCCTGATGCTAATGAAAATGTTGATTCTGAGGTCAGTGTGGAAGAAACTCCTGAAGGCTTGGAAGGCTTGGAAAGTGAAAGTACACATTCTCATGAGAATGTTTCAGGGTCAAGCGGTGATAGCTCTCCAGAGAAGCTAACACCTGGGATCCTTAATGAGGATAG